TCGGAAGTGGGTATCAAAAATAGTTTCTGTAAAAAATATTTCACGGCATAAGTTTCAGCTGAACCTTTGGCTTTGGCAATATCGGTGTTTTGTCCCAAGGCTCAAAAATAAAATGTTAAATGCTCTTGTTTGTTTTCACTATTGATTAAGATGGCTTGCTTTTGGTATTGAACCGTTCATTCTTTATCTTGCTTTTCCTTAATAAAACCCTCCTTGGCATCCGAGAAAAGGAGAATTAGTTTAGTTTCAGCCAACAAAGGTTTTAAAAGAGTTAAGATTTGATATTCCGAGACATATTTATAGTGTTGGTAATGATTAGTTTCAGTTTTGGTTAAATGGTTAATTTTGCTTTGGATTTGTTGTAATTTAGTGTAAATGTTAGTGTTATTCATTTTCTTTTATTTCTTCGGGTTCATATTTCTTTAAGATTTCAGCTATTTTCTGTTCAGTTTCTTTCATCCTTTTTTCATTTCAGTTTAGTCAGTTAGTTAATTGTTGGTAATGTTTTTCAATGGCTTGGGCTGATTGTTTGTATCACTCTAAATTATGGCTGATGCTGTCTTTTTGCTCTCGAATGAGGGCTATTTCTTGTTTTAATTTCTTTAATTCTAATAAGTCTTTGGATTTCATGGTTATTTAAAATTCTTTATTTTCTGGACAGTCTCTATGTTCAAGTTCTATTTCTATGCTTATTCAGCCTCGACTTTTATGGGGTTCAAAATCTTTTCAGTCAGTAGCATGATTAGTTCTAAAAAGAAGTCAGCAATTGTCTTGGGTCATAATCGGTTTGGAGCAAAGAGAACAAGTTCTTTTTTTTAATTCTTCTTCTTGAAGGATTTCAATAATTTGGTTAGTTGCTCCCATGATGGTTTAATTCTTTTGCTCTTTCGGAGAAAGAGTTATTCAACTCCTTTCAATCTACCAACTGATAACTTACGATTTGATAATTACTTACTTTGGGAGAACAGTAAAACAGGTATCTTTTGTCGATATACTCACTGCTTTTTATTGCTTCTCATACCTTACTATTTTGGAAGACTAATATTTCTTTTAGTTGAGGATTATTTTCTAATTCGACTTGTAAACGATGATAAATGTTCCCTTCATATTTCGAACCTTTTCGATAAACTTTTCTTTTCTCTTTGCCGATTATCTTACCAATAAACTCGTAAATTTTGTTGCTTTTATTGGTCATGATTTTCTAATAATTCCCGAGTTTGTTTAATCTGGGCTAATTCTTGTTCGAAGTGAGGTAATTGTTGGGTGGCTTGGACTAGGGTGAATTTACCTTGGAGATGAGGGTCAAGGAGTTGATAAGAAGTGGCTGTAAAACTAGGTCTATCACTGCCATTTTTGGGATTATCAAAATGTCCTTTTACCTCTAAATAAGAACCTTTTTTGATTTGGGGTTTGATTCAATTATCCTCTTCAGGTTTTTGTTTTCCCTCTTTGTTATATTTACATCATCAAGCATGGCTTAATCGATTGGGATAATTAGCCCGGGCATCACAATCTAAGCAATATTTGTCATTGTTAGTGAATATTTTTCTATCAACTGGTTTACCTTTTATTCTAAAAAAAACAGGAATATCCTGTTCTTGATTATCTACTTTTAAAAATACTCTGGCTGGATAAGGATTATTTGCTTTTAAGGCTTGGTTGATTTGGGAGGTGGTTATTCCTCGTAAAATTATTAATTCTCTCTTTTGGATGTCAAGGTGAGAGAGATTAACCCCGTTATTTTTTACTTGACTTTCTGTCATATGT